TCTGATGAGAAGGGCCTTTTGGAGATACTCTTTAGCCTTGTCGTATTGCCCGAGAGACCCAAATACATTACCTAGTTTTTCATAACAGGATGCTTTTCCTCTTTGGTCGCCAATTTTGGTTGTTATGGTAAGGGCCTTCTCAAGATATTCTTTTGCATTTAGGTTTTCGCCGAGTTTATATAACATAGTTCCGAGTCTTGTGCAGGCGTTCGCTTCTCCAATTTTATCACCACTTTGTCTCTTTATTTTAACCGCTTTTTCATAAAGTTGTTTGGCATTTGCAAACTTTATTAGACTCTCGGCAATCTCTGCTAGAGCTATGCTTACGTTTCCTTCTTTCACTAAGTCACCAGACTCGCTGTATAAGACAAGCAGTTTCTTGCCGCATCTTTCCGCACTAATGTAGTCAGAGATACGACGATAGGCGCTGAAAAGAACTTCATAGAAGGCGCCGTAAAATTGTAGCTGTAGTGAGTCAAATTGGTCTTTTCTGTTTTGATCGGTGTTATTTAGCAAAATCAAACATTCGTTGCATATCTCAATGGCTTTCTGAATGCGATCTGAGTTTAGCAGGAACACAGCAACTGACAAGGCGATGTTCGCGGAAGCTACCATGGCTCCTGGCGTTAGGTTTCCATTGCCATCCTCTCCTGTTATTAGGGAAACATTATTTTTAGTAACACAAATTAACCGAACGATTCGATAAACTGGATTCATAATGAGTCACCGACTACAAACAGGAACCAATATGTGAAGTTACAAAAACGGGCTGGGTCGAATACACCTGGAAACTTTTTGTAACGAGATGAAGGTGTTAGAATTCATAATATCGACCTAAAATAAAAAATAAGTGAAGAAGAGGCGTGGATAAGTACAACTGGAGCACATGAACGGATCACATTCGGTGAAACTTGTAAGATTAATTTGACCTGCACAGTTTTTTTGAAAAACGGACTGTGCGACTGTCACGCTGTGAAAGTCAACTGTTATCCAAGTGATCTATCTGTTTTGTTTGTTCATCTTATCACGTAACAAAAATTGACGCATGCTTGAGTTTGACTAATGGTCGTGTGTCGAGGGTCTCGCCACCAATCACGGGGTTTTTGAAAGTTAGGGGGTTTCTTAAAAAAAAAAACAAAAAAAACAAGAAGGATTGATAAACCTTTTACTGCAACGTTCTGGAAACATTTGAAAATGTTGTTCCAGCAGTTTATCACCAAGTAATGAGTTTACTTATCTAAAGTATGTGGCTGAAACGAATCTATTCGTAACTGATGAGCATGATTCCCAAGATTTGAGGTAACAATGGTTTGACTAACACGGTTTGACAAACACGGTTTGACAAACACGGTTTGACAAGCACGGTTTGACAAGCACGGTTTGACAAGCACGGTTTTTCTCCTTTCATTTTATTTAGGTTGCGATTTTTGCACAACATGACATGACGTAATAGTCACAGGAAAAAGATAAGCAAAACAGCATTTATCTCAACTTTTTCTATGAGAACTTTCTCCATGGATAGTTTCTGAAAAAAAACAATCCATGGGGTAAGTTTCTGAGGAAGCTTGGTGAGGTATTACAAAACAATTTGGCTTTACCGACTGAGTTAACAATGTAAATTGGCCATCGTAATGAGTTTCTGAAGCTGACGTCTCGAGCATTAGCCCTTCATTAGAGCATATGATAATCTTGGAGAATAAATGATGTTGTGTTGCCAGTATTCCGCAAAGAAACCAGCTGAGAGAGGTCTGCAGTATCAATATAATGCTTCGTTTTTCATCTGCATTTCTCTACCGGCCGTCAGAACGTATTTACAATGAAGCCTCTTGGGATCAGGCTACATCACTCGAGTTTAAAGCGTTTCAGTTCTTAAGTAACAATAAAAATAACCTTTTATCACAACTGTCTGGAAGATTCCTTGACATTCCGCAACATGGCATGCAACATTTGAAATATTGTTGGAGCAGACTGTTACCAAGTAACGAGCTTACTTATCAGATAAATGTCACCGAAAACGAATCTATTCCTCGCCGATGAGAATGGTGAACAAGATGCCAGGCCACAAACCTTTGACGAAGTCTGGCTTTGCAACTAATTCATTTCACTCCGGTGGTAACTTTTGCTCAACATGATATGGCCTAATAGTCACAGGACAGGACAAATTAGCAATCATGTTTAGCCTTTGCGATTAAAAAGTTACTCATACCACAAGTAACCATAGAGTTAAAGCTAAAGTTACGATAAAGTTACTCTAAAAGGCAATACAAAATTATCGATGTCGCAGCTGATACTTACAAAAGTGAAAGGACAAAAGCAATGAAAAACAGTCGACATTTTTCCTTCACAAACATCTTGACTTAAGTTAAAAACACATAATGCTATTCTGCACATTTTTGACCGTTTAAAAGGTAGGTCAACGTTTTGGTTATTATTTAATTGGTCATCTAATTTACAAAAGTTTGCCTGATGACGTAATGGAAGTGAAAAGATTGTAATCTCCCTTTATCCTCATTTGTTCAGGCATGAAACTATGAGTTTGTGAATTAGCAATGACAAAGTATTCAGATTTCAGAGAGAATGTTGTTTGAGTTCATTTTAAAACCTAACAAAGCTAAGCTTCTCAACCAATTTAACGGCTGGGCTCCGTAAACTACTCACATTTGAAAATTAAACGCAGTGATCAGTTACGCTTCCTTCAGTTCCTTACAAAGAATTATACCATCTCTCTCCGTGAGCACGTGGTGTCATAGACTGACCTCTCTTCTTATGCGAGACATAAGTACTTTCGCAAAAGGTTAACAAGGTCACGTGAATTACCAATGAAAACTATGGCCACTTGAAAACCACGAACTGCAACACCGCAAATATCCTCTGACATCAGGAAAGGACAGCCCGCATAACAAATATGTCTTAATATAGGATTGATTTTACTTTTTAATCACGTGATTGTGGAAACCATCAATTTCTCAAATTAAACAATGCTTAACAATATTAGATAAAACCATAATGGTTTGAAGAAAGAAATTTAACAGCGGAGATATGAAGCATCTGTTCAACGGAAAAGTATAACTATACTATGTATGCAATTACGATGAATTTAAGTAAGTTTCATTTTCTGTAAGAATATTAAAACATCTCTCTTCGTGAGCGCGCAGCGTCGTGACTCATCTTTTTATGCGAGACTCTGGCGCTTTAACAGACAAAGAAACAGATTACGGCCTTTAAAAAAATATATGCCGTAGCACCCGCCGGTAGTATCCAAAGATTGAAGTGAAGGGTATCTCGACCATGAAACGCTTGTGCACGAGAAGAAAACGGAAATATAATTTGAATCTACCGCGATCTTTGAATCGCTCGTTTAAGCCTCCTAAAACAAAGTCAAGTTAATAGCTAATGCAGATCATAGCCACTGGAAAACCACATAATGAAGCACTACAGATTTCCTATGATAATCGCGAGGAACAGTCCACAACATAAATAGAGGTCTGAATTTAGTTTTATGTTTAGTTTCGATACTCAATAACCTTAGTTAATGTAGATAGATTATACCATATAAAGCCATAGAGATTTGATAAATTCGCCGTACAACGAACTTATTTCACTGTGATGGCGATTCAATCGCGCCATCAACCGTTTTATTGAAAGGCCAACGCTCGAAATGAGACATAACTACAAATTATTGCAACAAATTATTGCAAACACAAAGATCGAAAAAGTAGTAACTGGGCTTTGACATAAGAGCCTTACCTCTCTACAGTTACTAAATAACTTAAGCTGATAAAAATCGAGTGACTAGAAAAGATTTTCAATCGTACTTACCAACATGTTGACAATGTGGCTGATGCTTTCAAAATGAAACAACAAAAATAACGAATTACAATTGGGACTTTTCCCAACCTTCCGAAACGCTATCACAGTGTTTTGGGTATCCAGATCACTTTTGTTTTAGGTTATTCCCTTCCCCCCTCTTGGCTAGTCGAAATGAAAAGGAAAAGTTTTCAATTAGTAATTGCAGAATTTTTTTTGTGTTCGTATGCCCGTCAATCGCGTCCTACTAAGTTGAAATTTTCAACATTTAGTGTTCATATGATAAAATTCTTTTTGACTGAGTTTAGTTGGGCTGGACGGGAAAATATTTAGCTCTCGGTCATGAAGCAAGGACCTCGCTGCGCCTCTACCGCTCAATCAATAAGTACACAGTATTTCGGTTTTCTACATCCGCTTTTATTACTAATGATGTAATTAAACATGAAAAAAGGTGTTATTCTATTTTTAATGGGGAACGTCAGGCTTTAGTGTTTACCCCTTTGAACGGTTGGATTTTCATCACACGATTGATCACAGCACAACCTAAGTGTCATTCTTCAAACGTAAAGCTATCTTTAAGTGATAATCGACTAATTGTCTTCCTAAACTTTTCATTTTCTAGCGGGTGTGATTTGCATGATCGAAGCCAAAATTGCTAAAAAAAAATTGAGTGACTGTATTTCGGTTTGGCACGTCTCACTTTTATAACTAATGATGGATTTTAGCATTCAAAAATGAAACATGTTGCTCTCTTTAACGGGAAACGTTAGGCTTCAGTGGTCATCCCTTTTGGACCGGTTGGATTTTCTTCACGAGATCGGTCAGATCGAGAGTACAATTTGAGATTCTATCTTTAAACAGTAAGCTATTTGTGCGTGAAAATCGAGGCATTGTGCCCATGAACTTTTCATTTTCTTGCGGGAGTGACTTGCATGATCGAAGACAAAAACACTAACTGTTATAATAGACGAACAACAAAACGGACGGATTGGATCAGTAATTTGCTCGAAAATAACAATATCACTGGTCTTACCTCATTTGAAAGATAAAAAATTTATATTATTTAGGTTCTTCCTTGTCTTAGAAAAATAACAAACAATCACGGTAGGCTTGACAAGCTTGCTTCCCGTTTAGTTTAGTATTGATGTCAACATTACCTGATTTCTCCAAATTCGGGTAAATTTCATTTTCCAAGGCTACACGGTCAAAGCCAAACAAGTCGCATCTGAGAACTATGGGCTCATTGTAGTAGGAGGAGGGTCTCAATGGGGTGATGGCTTTTACAGCTAACAGTTAAAATTTTGCCTGTTACAACTAACTATTTACATCATTCCATGAGTTGTTATCAGAATTTTTTTTTCTTTTTTTGAGATAAATATTTTTACGACTTACGGTTAAAGTTTTGACAATTTTTACGCTTAACGGTTAAATTTTTTGGCCGTTTTATGGCTATCGGTTAACTCCATTGAGACCCTCTGTAAGTATATGACGTCTTAAATAAGTAGTAAATAACTGAAATTAAAAACGTTCTTGCTGTAATTGTTTGCTATCATATACACCTGACAAATTGTTCTCCAAGGAGGAATGATTTTCAGTCGTTCAAATTGCTAGATATTTCAGCAGGCTATCAGCCCTTAAAAAGGCCGATCTCCTGAACGGAGTTGTAAACGCCTCTTTGGAGGATGAATATAAAATCAAATACGTTAACAAAGCAGAGGCGATGGAGAAGAGACTTCAAATAGGAATCGATTGGACTTTGGACGTTGTTTTCGTAGTACATGATAGTTTGGCGAGTGTGTTGCGAGAAAAGGAGCAGAAAAAACACGTTTTAACTTTAAAATTATACGATAAAAATAAATGCGAACCTTTCATATCCCGATAAATCTCAACCTCACTCGTCGAGGCTCTTTGCAAAAGCCACGATCATAACGCTTCTCTAATGAGCCCAAAATTTCTGGTTACTGTCATTCTTTGTGCACAGCCACTGATTCCATGACACCATTTAAAAGAAAACAATACCCAAATGCTGTGATTGGTGTCTCATTTCAGATAGATTATTGGTATACTCGATTGCTTGTTTCATCGCCAGTAAATTGCTCCTTCGGTCAAATGCCGAAAATAAGATTAAAGTCTGTGATCCTGAACACAGGTCATAACCTTAAACATTTCCGAGGCCACCCCTTTAAGAAATTAAAAGAAAGCCGTCGCTTATGATAATAAACTTCCTGTACACAGTCATGTCCAAACTGAGATAAATCCTAAATCTTACAGATGCAGATCAAACTGAAATTATATACGTTGCTTAGTAGTCAGCTTATAAAACAACGGCCAGTTTTACTCAGTGAAAAAGCTTTTAAACTCCAACTTACCCTGTTATACTCTCTCACCGACGCAGCACCGCAGTTCCTTAGAAACTGACCCTTTACTAAAATGTTATCTATGACCGCGGTACCTGATCTCTAAGGGTACTCATGTCAAGTTCGCGCGCTTTGCTGAGCATGAATTGTATATTTTTACACGTTTAGAAATAAACTATCAGCTTCACTTATCGTTGTGACCTTTTTGTTTCGTTCAATGTAAAGGAAAACAATTATTAGATTCGGTTTTTGTTATATCCAGAATAATCAAGATCTCGGTAAGGCTCCACCTAGATTATTCTGGATATCACAAAAACCTCATCCTATAATTGTTTACAATTTGGTGCCTGTAATTATCTATCAAATAACACTCCTCCGATGACCTCAAAGGAGGGAGAAGAAGATTGAACTGATTTTTTCTTTTGGTTGTGATAAGCGAGCGAGCTTCCAAAAGGTATGTTCCTTGGAACGGGCGGAAAAGTCCATGAACGTAATGCATGATTCAAATTCCCAACATAATTCAGTCCCTCACGTACATAGTGTTCGTAATATGCGCAGTAATGGATCGAGGGTAGGGGCCCGAGGGGCCAGTTCCCTCCCCCCCCCACCCCCTTATTTTGGGTAAAAAAAAAAAAGAAAGAATCGCAGAAGGAAGAAAAGGCGGCAGGATAAGCGGCAAAAAAACCGCCATAGGTATTCAAATGATGTTCTTTCTAACTCAGCTTTCCTTCTCGTCAAGGAAGGATTTCCCAGAATGCAATGAGAAGGTTTCCTACCTGCAATGACTTACGGGAGAAAAGCAATATGGCGGACGCGTAATGCTGTCTAGTGCATCTTCCACGTGTGGATCAACTTTCCCTGAGTCGCTGGAGGGCTGAGGTTCGATAGGGATGACTTCTATTATCAAGTTGTCAGTTTTGTCAGGAGCGTATGATGAAGGGCCTCTTTGTTACCTTCTTCAAGTCGACGAGTTCAGATTCCTTCTTGACTGCGGTTGGAACGAGTCATTCAACGCAGAGATCGTAGAACCTATAAAGAAGTAAGTGTCTGGTAAACTTTTGCCTGGAATCAACAATTAACTTCGGTTTCTTTTGGGTAGGAGTACTAAACCTGCGTTTAAGAGAGTTTTGCGGAGGGGCTTACACCTCTACTGAGAGTAATGGTCATCAACGGTTGTGAATATATGGAAGTCATACATTTAAACTGCGGTGAAAGACGTGAATATGAAAGCGATCTTCGCAGTTATGAACACTACGTAAGCAGTAGTGAAAAGAAGGCCTGAAAAAAATTCAGGCCTGTACGGGATTTGAACCCATGACCTCTGCGATACCGGTGCAGTGCTTTTCCAACTGAGCTAACAAGCCAACTGGGAGCTGGTCACTGTATTGGTTCCAAATAAACCCATGAAGTGGTAAATAAACGGTTGTGAATATATGGAAGTCATATATTTAAACTGCAGTTAAAGACTAAATATGAAAGCGATCTTCGCAGTAATGAACACTACTTAAGTAGTAGTGAAAATAAGGCCTGAAAAAAATTCAGGGCAGCACGGAATTTGAACCCATGACCTCTGCAATACCGGTCATTGTTGGACAGCATTTACACACATGTATCCCTAGCGTGCATGACACTTTCAGATTGATGGGTGGCTTGTTTTGAGAATTTTATTTATATCGTGAATCTTTTACCATAGGTACATACATCAGATAGATGCTGTACTGATCACATTTCCTGATATATACCACATGGGTGCACTGCCATACTTGGTGGGTAAATGTGGTCTTCACTGTCCAATCTATGCCACAATTCCTGTGTACAAGATGGGTCAGATGTTTATGTATGACCTATATCAGGTGTGTGCAAGTTTCAGACTCTGACTATTACTTTCAAAATCAATGGCTTGATTTACATGTATCTCTCAAATAGCATACAGGTAAAATTACATGTATCTTTAATTTGGGTTGTGGTAATTTGTGGTGGTGAAGTACAATGATTGAAAAATATAATAGTTTGTCACCCCGCGTGACAGTTCTGATGTAGATCATGTCTTCCTTACTACATGTTGCTACTTGAAGCCTTCTCCAGATAATGAGGCTGACTAGAAAGTTTTAAATCTCATGAGTAACCATGACAGAATTTCTTGTCTTAATATCAATACAATATCAAAAAGGGAAATGATGAAATGATGAGAATAAAGGAGAATATCAATTAGGGGATTATTAGCTGATCCAATACCAAATTCACCAAACTAACATAATAAGAATTGTATGGCAGACAGTAAGGAGAATTACTAATGAGGTCTGGGGAATAAATGGGTTAAGACTTATGGTAGAGCTCCTTAAAGCCAAAGTAATGCAGCTTGACACTCATTACAACATTCTGCAATAATTGAGATTTTCCTCCTTCTCTTTACTGTTTTATCCAGCTATATTGGGCAGTGAGGCCTTTTTCAGCAATTTCTTGTGGCTCCCAAAACAATTTATCAACTCACTATTTTAAGAGGAAACGGTATTTTTGGTGGCTTACTTGCTATCATTTCAACAGTTAATGACAAATTGCTGAACATTTTGTCTTTCAGTCACATCAAAACTATGAAGAGTTTGATGTATTTAGCCTGGATGATGTAGATGCTGCCTTTGATAAAATCATTCAGCTTAAGTACTCTCAAAATGTCAGCTTGAAAGGTCAGGATATATATATATTTTTTTCATAACAAGCACCTACTGATTTCTTTTGTTATTGTTTTTTGTTTCTGTTGGAAATTTGCTATAAGGTGATATTCAATAAGATGTATGAAAATGCTGAAATAACTACAGAATTACTAAGTTCTGTTTTGAAATTTGCAAAAATGAATTATTTTTAATTAGTTCTAAATCGTTGACTATTTTCTGAGATATTCAGAACAAAAAGTAATTTGAAGAAAGTACAAGGCAGGCACATTTATGAATGGTAATTCCAAATTGATAATAAATTTATGAATAACATCTATACCTCGTAATTCTTATTGTATTCTGTTGTAACAGTTTTTGTGTCACTTGGAGGTAGGTGAATTGTCTTGCTAAGGATTGTTGTTGCTTTTCATAGTATTACTACCCTTGTGGTGAAATTAGAGGGTTCCAGTTTTCTCTTGAAGAGTTTCAGATTTTATGTGGACAAACATGTATTTGAGAGAGCTGAAATTCTAGTCAGTCATTTTTTTTTAGTTCTATTATTTTTTGAAAAATTTTGCAGGTAAAGGCCATGGTTTGACCATAACGCCTTATGCAGCTGGTCACATGATTGGTGGAACCATGTGGAAAATTGTGAAGGATGGTGAGGAGGACATAATTTATGCTGTAGACTACAATCACAAGAAAGAAAGGTTGGTGACAGTGATCATACCAGTAACCTGTTATTTGCTTGACAGAGCATGTATTTCACCTGACTTGCTTGCTTATGGTCTACATGCATCTGTTCAGATCATGTCAGTGGATCTAGTTTCTTGCTAAAAAAGTTCACAAAAAAATCATTTCAAGTTGTTTATAAGGCTTAAGTATGGGATCTGTATTTGACATTGATTCCATTCTCTCATGATTACCCAATGAGATTCCTGGGACATTTATTGATTTCTGAAAGGTACATTGTACAGAAGTATAGATGAGACAGCTAACCATGAGAAAGGAAAATACACTATTTGATCTCACAATTGAATAAAGAAGGAGTACAGTACATGTTAAATAAGTATGTGCCTTTTTACAGTATGTGACCAGTGTTCAAGTTTCAGCAACCAATGGCTGCTAAGCTCCTTCACTTGTGAGCATGGCTAAAATTACAGTATTAAGCTTACCCAATTTGATAGAGTTTTGTAGCTTTGCTGGTTGGTTTTTTCTTATCTTGTGTTTCCTTCAATTTTAACACACAGTAAGTTAAATTTGTACCAAAAGTTGACCTTGAGATGTACTTTTCTTAAGAAAAAAATCAAACAAAGGTTTTATGTGAATTACTGCCAAGTGCCTGGCACAATGTGGGCTAGAAAACCTGAATTTTAGAGTGTGGTCCCTGAATTATCTCTTGATTATAGCATTGTAGTTGATTATAAGCTTGGCTTTCCCTCATCAGGCATTTGAATGGAGCTGTTTTGGAAACCCTTAGCAGACCATCATTGCTTATTACAGACAGCTACAATGCACTTAACGTACAAACTAGAAGAAGAGAGAGAGACACCCAGCTAATGAGTAAGAACTAACAATGAACATAAGAAACAAAATATCAGGATGAATTCTTAAGTGGTTAAATAATTATTACTTTTTGCTTTCAGTTATATCTGCAAATCAATGGTATAATCACGTGTAATATCCATGTACATGTACATTGTATAAAAAGAAATACACTGACTTGCATATACCAAAAAGTTGTACAATAAAAGTTTTAACCTATACCATACATTAGTCATGATTGTCTTATATCTGTTCAAAACCACATGCAATGTTTATAGGGCATTGTGGGTAATAAGTGGTTTAGTCTTTGGAACAGAGGTTAAATCTTGCTTTTACCTTTGCATTTACAATACAGGACACAGACTAAAATACTGTAGCTTATATAATTATACTGTATTATTCTATCCATCTGTCTTTTTGCTTAATTTTCTCTGCTTAACAAAGATGAGATCCTCACTACAGCTAGAAGAGATGGTAATGTACTCATTGTTGTGGATACAGCTGGAAGAGTTTTGGAACTATCTCAACTATTGGTAAGTTGTTAATACCATGGTACATGTTTATCTTTCTGCAAGGCATATATCTCTTGTTGTTTCTTAAATTGGAACTTAACACCAGAACTGTATACAGGTATGAATAACTTAATTTTTTACTGAAACCTTACCTAACCCAAATGGAGAATAAAACCAGCTAATGGTTTCAGTCTACAATACAGATGAAGGGGAGGAAAAGGGAGATCTTTGGAAGTTGATGCTCTAGATGTGTATTAAGGAAGGGGACTTACTAAGAATTTTGGGCAAGAATAGAATAGCCTCTCAAAAGTGTTTTCTTTTTCATTGTATAGGATCAGTTATGGCGGAACTCTGATTCAGGTTTATCAGCCTACTCTCTTGCGATGTTGAATAATGTCAGCTACAATGTTGTTGAGTTTGCCAAGTCACAAGTGAGTATTTTTAGTATAGTCAACTCCCAATAACTTGAACCCTTGCTAACTCGAACGTCATACTAATTCAAACCAAAATTTATTTCCTCTGGAATTCTGTCTTACATTTACTGCAGTTTTACCCTTGGTAACTCAAACTCCCGATAATTTGAACTTTTTTTCAATTTTCCTTGAAGGTTTGAGATATCAAGAGACTACTTTACATACTTTTTCTCTTAGGGTATCATGGCCAAATTATGAAACTTTTTACTTTCTAGCATAATTTCATTGGTTTGGTCGATTTCTGTTGAGTCAGTAGTATGCATAGAACAGTAAAAACTAAAGGGATGTTCTCCTCTCTTTTCAGGTGGAATGGATGAGTGACAAAGTTATGAAATCATTTGAAGTTGGCAGGATGAACCCTTACCACTTTAGGTTTGTATCAAATGAGTAGGCTAGCATTTCGTAGCAAGGTCTAAAATTAGCTGGCCACAATCAGTGCTTGTATAATGGGAGTGAAAATCTATGCTCTGTTCTGTAGATATTAATGGTTCAAAGGAATCTCAATTTACCAAAAACCCCTCGAAGGAGAGTTCATAAAGAGGATCGGTCAGACTTTCCCCTTTCATATGGACCTAAGTGTCAAGAATGGATAGTTCCTCTGGTTTTTGGTGCTTAAATGCATATTGATTTTAATATTGAATTGTGGCATTCATTGGTCATTAAGCTAAGTCGGACAGTACATGTATATTTTTTAATGGGAGTTTGTGACACGGCCTTCCCCAAGAGTGGCCAGTGGGAAGTAACCCTGCTCTTGGTTTTTTAGTAATGAATATGATCGTGTTTTCCTGGCAGTGAGTTGGTAAATGATTTGCCCTAAACTTCATATTTTGCCATCTTAAATTTTTGTAAAAACGATAGCAAAACTATACATTTTGGTTTAAGAAAAGAAGGTACGGCAAAGATTGCCCTTTTAAGAACGTTGTTTTCACTCGCCTTCTGTTAAAAGATAAGAGATATGATAAGAGGTCCCTTTCTTGTAGATACTGCACGTTGTGTCACTATATGTCAGACTTGGACAAAATCCCTGAACCAAGGGTTGTTTTAGCATCAGTAGCAGATTTGACATGTGGCTTCTCACGAGAACTTTTCATAAAATGGGCTGAGAACCCCAAAAATACAGTCGTATTTACCAGTCGAGCTTCGCCCGGCGCATTGGCTCGCACTTTGATTGACAACTTACAGCAGAAGATCATCGATATAGAGGTGCATTGAGTTATTGTAAAATAAGAAATATGAAAGAAAGTATAAGAAAATTTAGGTTACACTGTTGATGAAACAGAGAACATCGGATTCAAGTTGAGAATTGAATGGGTTCTCTTTTTTTCACCGCGACAATTGACTGATTACTTTTCGAGACAAAAATCACTTTTCGTTATTTTGGTGTGTGTGTGTTTTTCTCTCTTGTTATTAATGTTTTTTTTTTTCGGCTGGAAATGAACCATTAATCCTTTAACCCACATAACTTATCTTCAAAATATGAATTCACTAACAAGCACAAAGGTGACGAGAATAGATAAATACGTCAGCTAAACACCAAACTAATTAATTTGATGCCAGTAACAAATGAGTCTTCAAGTGTGATAGATGTTTACGCGGATAATTATTTCCCTTGTGTCAAGGTGAAATCAAGAGTCAAATTGGAAGGAGAAGAATTAGAGAGATATCTGGAGAAAGAAAAGGAAAAAGAGAAGAACAAACCCACATCTGATGCGGTGGACAGAAGGTAACTGAACAGATCAAGTCATGTTGTTTAGTTGCCGTTTTACCTGCGTCATTAACAAGAATTCTGTGTTCCGTTGGAATTCGTATAAACTGTCCTGGTTTCTATCTTCAGTCATCGCGTCACGGCCGAAGAGAGTGATAGTGACAGTGATGAGGATTTGGATGGAGGTGTGAGGCATGATCTCATGATGACAGACGAAAAGGTAAAAAAAAAAGATCACAAACGCAGTGGGGAAAATAGTTATATATGTGTCGTCTCATCCTTTCTGCGTTTAATACCGTTAAATATTTGAGGTCCATTAAAAATAAAAGACTTGAACTTGGCGAAAATCCAATCTTGCTGAAGCTTGGTCAAAATAGTATTCGTTATTAAGCAAAAAGACTACAACGAAGAATTAATAACTTTAGTGATGTATTCCAGTTCTTTCTTTGTTAATGTTCTTAGACGAGTGTGTGACTCTATTTTTCTTTGCGGTTACAAAGCTGTCTCTTCTCTTTGCTGCATCAATGCAGGCAGTCGTGCCCAATCCAAACGCAGGATTCGACTCGTATTCCTCGCTTACAGAGCTTAGCCATGCAATAAGTATTGTTTAACTAGGTTAAAAGGGATATGTTGGTTCAACGTCCAGAGTGCTAGTATCTGGATCAAGAGATGCAGGGTTTTTAGCGCTAGACAAGGAGGTTTTCTCTTACTTGGCTTCTCTCCCCTTTCATTGAATGAAATAAATATACTCTAAGGATGGAAGAATCTGTTATAGACTGGTATTCCAGCACTCTTGGTCGCCTCTGGCTTCAGTGTTCGAGCTCCTGCAGTTGTTCGTTTTGTTTACCTCTAAGCGATTGAATTTTGCTCGGACATAATGGGTACAAACCTATCGCTACAGCTGTACATCTGTTTTTCTTTATTTAGGGAGGCCGCAAGAGCAGCTTCTTCAAACAAGCTAGATCATATCCTATGTTCCCTTGCCACGAAGAGAAAATCAAATGGGACGATTATGGAGAGTTTATTAAGTGAGTCAACACTCGAACGTTCCTTGCTGCGTTGCTGCATTTAAAAAAATCCCTCTTTGAAGCTAGATTGCTAGAAAATCTTACTGTGGGATGCTGCTTTATATATTTTTCGGAAATACTTAAGTGCAGATTTTTTCCTGTTACTAAATGTCTTTTAGAGTAGTTTTTTAAGGCTAAGACATTTTTTGTTTGTAAGTATTCAACATGGCCATACAAGTTGGGAAGGTCTCGTGGCGTGAAGTTGCGTATCTTTTTGTGACCGTTTTTCGTTGTGTGATTAAAACAGGCCTGAGGATTTCATGATCAAAGAACTGGCAGCAGCAGAAGAAGAAAAGGCCAAAGTGGTGAGAAAAGTGATTCTTTTTGAAGGAGGAGGAATAACGCTTTGTCCTGATAGATGTTAATCTTTAAGCCCAGTATCTTTCTCGTTCCACATCAATCTAAGGAAGCTATCTCTCCTTTGTCAAATTGTACATCTTCCCCTCTGTAATAAGATAAAAGACATCTCCCCAACTCCTGCTTTGCTCTCAAGAGAATCTCTTTTCGTTTGTAATCGTTCTGCGGCCATAGTTATCTTTAAATCTTTTAGTTTTCCTACTTTATTTCTGGCGTTTGTGTAACCTTCGAGCACGCTCGCAATTTGGGAAGGGACCTTTAAGCGGAAAGTGAGATAAGATGCAAGACATTGAAACGTATCCCGCGCGATTCACGGATGGAGAGCTTAATTGCAGCCTTGACTTGATAAAGCCAGATAAACGAGTTTGTTATCCCGAAATTTTTTTTGGCGTATTTGAGGTGCTGATGTATTGATTTGATTCCCGTTAGTAGCATTGTTTTGTAGCGTATGCTCGAGTTACAAACTGAAAAAACATCATCTTTCACTTTTTTTTTTATCTGTTCTCCTATTTGAAGGAAGTTTGATCCGTTCCCAGTAAATTCTTCAAAATATCAAGACACTTCAAAAGATTTTCAGAAGTTTGATTCTCATTTTGTCTTCAACTCAACAGGAGCAGAATAAAAAGGAAACCTTAGACACGGAAGCTATTACAGGGCAGGGTAAGTTAAAGTAAATGGTTCAAAGACTGCATGTGGAGGTCAGTCAATTATTTACGTAGCCACTCCTTAGTAGCATGCGATTCTTTGGGTAAAACACAGTCTCCTTTGTAGCTGTTATTCTTTCGCGTCACGTATCATGTTCTCTGAAGGATTGCGTGACGATACCAGACATTAACTGCCGAAGAGACTATAACGCCACAAGACCTTTCACCTAAGCAAGTTCTCAGTATACAGAGAGGTTGCCCTAAAAAAAATTGGGCCACTTGATTTCTCTTGTAGCTAACTTATTGCATTTAAGATTCCAGGAAGAGCAACTTACTGGTTTTTCTTTAAGGTGAAATGTCAAAAGTGCCAACAAAATGTGTGGTGGAAAGGAAGCAGCTTAACATCAGGTGAGATCAAACTATCAGAATAACAACGTGTTTTCTAAGACAAATTTAACATATTGTATTATAGATGAAGCAACTTCGGATTTTGGAGAAATTATTGCTTCGAAGATGTAGCAAAGTTAATTGCAACAAGAGAACAATCCAACGACTTGAATCGAATACCAGTTAACTTGTCTCATGCTCGTCAGAAGACGAATAAAACATCTTTCTCTGTTCCATTTCCGAGCTCGTTTTTTTTGTTTTGTTTTAGTTTTATAAATTTTTCAGCCAATTTGTAGTCCAGCATATTTCTTGTTCTTATATTAAATCAGTAAACGTTTTGTTTTTTAACATGTTTGAATGTTTTTTAGTTATTCATTCCTACTTTATTTATCTCAATGCGTCTCTTGTTTTAGATGTTCAATGGTATATATCGATTTCGAAGGAAGGTCAGATGGAGAATCCATCAAGAGAATTCTCTCCCTTGTTAATCCAAGGAATCTTGTAAGTCTGTATTTTGTGCAATGTAGTTAGAAATTTTTGAGGCAATTTTCAATCCCATTTTCTCGCGTCCTCTCCGCTCCTCCGTGAATCAATGTTTTCGCCTTCTAATTGTAATAAAGTCGGCAATATGAAATGTTGGGAAGGTAGCGGTTACAAAATTAACTGTGGAGTTAAGTAACGTTTTTTTCTCCAAAAAACGGTCTTTTTTGTTTCCTCATCCATGTTGAAAATTCATCCATTAATCGAGTGACAGACACTACAATGGACTAGTATCCCATACGAGGGGCGTCCTACTCGCTTGATTCAACTTAAAGCTGGATAAGCTCAGGCCGTTATTTACCTTTTCACCAATTTTTTGGCTTCTATTCATTTGCTCATGTGTTTCCTTTTTCACAGATTCTCGTGCACGGTGTTGCAGATGCTACAGAACACTTGGCGGAATACTGTCGGCAGAACAGCAGTATTCAGGTGAACCAGGTTTTTACTCCGCGATGTGGTGATACTGTGGATTCCACGGGAGAAAGATACATTTACCAAGTGAGTGATCAAGAATAAGCTTGTTTCTGTCGTCCCATTCTTCGCGCCAGAAGCCTTGGATCATCATTTTCTGGTGGAAAAAAAATAGCAATTAAGGGGGAAAATACTTGCTTGTGTTAACTTGGCCAAAGTTACAGATGAAACCTCAGTGTTTCTATTCAACAGAAAGCTACTGAGAGCAAACATGCGTGACATGCTACTCCCTTTTACTCCGTTAAAGTCATCTACATGCATACGACACGTTAAAATAAGTTTAGGAATCAGTCTTTCATTTGGTTAACCCTTAGGTGAAATTGCGAGACGCCCTGGTGAGTTCGTTGCAATTTTCCTGCGCGCGTGACGCAGAACTCGCTTGGGTGGACGGACAGCTACACATGAACGCGTCCGAGTCGCACATGGGACTGGTTTTGGAAGACGGAGAGTTGCGAGACGAGGATGAAGGTCACGAGAAAATGGAAACTGATCAGAGCGGAAAGGAGGAACCAGCAGATACAGTCCCAGTCTTGGAGCAACTACCGACTTCTTCGGTTAGGTTTTAACACAATCTTATCGAATTCTTACTCAAGTACTGTCAAAAAAGAAGATTAGTTTATATATCAGTACTCTTTTCACATACGAGACAATTGATTGAATGCTGATTGGTGCAGACAATTTTGATGTCGACAGAGCATGTTAACTTGATCCTGATTGGCTGAGCGCTCGTCGTCTGTGGCGAAAACTTTGAAAATACACGTGAAATTAATCAAACACAAACCTTACGTTCACAATTTTCAACAATTTAAATCCGCGCACGTTTATCAATCCAAAAGAAAATGAACGTGATTTACTCAAGTTTATCATTTGGAAAGGTTTTTCGCCATTTCTAGCCATGTTCGCTCGGTTTTTTTTCCCTCATTTCGTTAGCGTGTGTCTTCCTTAGCGAGTCCTTATTGCAAAGTTTCATTTTGTGAAATACAAAAGTAATATAGTCCAAATAGATAATATACCGAAACTCCCCAACCCTCCCCCTATCAAAAACTTCAAACCTTCCGTCTATTCTCCTCACAGATTACGGGACACACCTCTGTGTATATAAACGAGCCTCGCCTGTCAGATTTCAAGCAAGTGTTGAACAAAGCCGGTATTCAAGCGGAATTTGCTGGAGGCGTTCTTATCTGCAACAATGTTGTAGCTGTAAGAAGGGTGAGAAAAAGATCAGTTTAATGTCTCTTTAAGTTCAAACTCACCGTTGAAACGTTTTGAAGGCGTCCTCTTGAGTGTAATTTTACAAGTTCTACCTCTCCGCACAACTGGTTGATCATTCAGCTTTAGCGGCTTGTATCTATTCCCTAACACTATGAATTTTCTTGCTTCTCATGTCTATGTTTTGTGGTCTTTCTCAGAACGAGACTGGCCGCGTGGGCTTGGAAGGAGCCGTGTGTGACGACTATTACAAGATCCGGGAGCTTCTGTATGAACAGTACGCTGTGGTGTAAACGGTGTTAGTATTGCATGGTCTGGTGATAAAAGACAAACATTGGTCTCGAAAGGTTCGCAAGATTTTGTAAAGTAGACCTTTTTACAGTTCCCGGCGCCATCTTGGCTAAGTAACCGCGCGCACACAATAACGAGGCTGGAGTTGACCTGGCGGTTTTTTCAAACGGCTGAGCTGCTGACATTTCGCGTTCGAATGCACTTTTTAATGCGAGTTCTCCCTTCAAAATGGTTTTTAAATACAACGATATGGAAATTTCGGTATTAGATGACATCTAGAAACTCAAAACAAAAGATCTTAAGGAGATTTTAAAGTTTAATTTAGAATCGATGGGCGGAATGAGAGCTGACAATTCAGCTTTCAATCAGCCTCAGATAATAGACAGATCGATTCACAGGAAGTACCCTTAACAGACACCATTGAAGAGATTCTCGAAACTGAAAGGATCAGAAGGGTTAAGAGCACAACCGCTTTAAAACGAAAATCGCTTCTAATAACTTTAAATTTCGGCAAGGCACTGTTAATTTGATATCATCCAGAACTGAGTGGGACTTGTTAGTGAGGGGATCGATTGTGGTAGTGTAGACACATTATGAGCTCTGCAGGATTGGCGAGGGTGAGAATGACAGTAACGATCATGAAGATTAGATTGCTAACTCTATCAGCAAATACAAGCAACACCTCGACCATCAAGGCGAGTGTCATGTACCATTGATGCCAATGAAAGGACAACTGATGGTGTAATAAAGGAAAGATTTCCATTTCTCTGAAAAGCTATGGAAATGTATACTCTGTTGTTTACCGATCATGTTAATTGGTCTTTTCGACAGCAGGCCCCGGTTGTTTGAACGGTGGATAACGCTATCCACTGATTAAATCTCCTTTCGGTGGATAGCACAGTATTTTTTTGTTCACACTTATTTGCTGGATTGCGATTTAACAGTTGTTTAGCCTTATCCTCCTCTTGAACAACTGAACCCTGAGCGTCAGATGAACCTTTTAAAATTAAAAGCAATGGCTAATTCTTTGCATTGACTACCAAGCTCTGTGAATTTTTTTCGTAGTTGTGATAATAAGATCTGTTAAATAGTCCCAGTTCATGGTCACAGATTCTTCCTTCTTTATAAATAGTTTATTTCATGGCTCTATTTTGTAGGGACACATTATATCTTCAACAGTGGTCGGATGAATAAAAGCGATTTCATATTGCTATAATAGATCTTTGCGATGTAGAATTGTTTATCAGTACCCGTGACAACTGCACAATTAATCCCATAACTTAAATTTACACTCTATACATTAAGATTTAGTACACTTTTCTAAGCACTTGAGGAAGACAGCGTCCACCGCGCTATGTTTGATCCCTTTGGCGTTTGCCTCCAAACAAACCTAACCTCGAAGCTCAGTGAAAAAATATATACGAACGAATATATTTATTATATATATATATATATATATATATATATATATATATATATATAAAATATATACGTATATATAATATACGAAACAATGATTCAAAACCTGAGCGTGAGTTCAGTGTCAGAGCGATCTGACGGTGCTTCCTACAACATATATAATGTTCAACTGTTCCGAAATTCATACAGTTTGACTAGTACCGGTAGTATTATTTCGCTTCACTTAGGGTTAGAAAGCTATGTGATTTAAAGTGAAGTAATTGTTTAGACCAGTTCTAAGTGTCTTCGGAAAGCTTCAGTTAGAGTTGGCAAGTTTCAAATTACTTGCTGCAATCTTATTTTTGCATCATGAAATATAATTTTTATTTCTACCACAAGATTTTCGAAGTTCGAAGCACTGTTATTGTACTTTGCCTTCGAATAATACATCGGCGTGGCGTTCTATGAGTATTTTCACCCTTACACTGAGAAGGAAATTTTCATGGGGTTGAACATACAATTCCCCATGGCCAAGGCTGGAATTGAGAACAAAAAATTCTACTGTCTGGCACAAAAGACAAACAAACTTTGTACCAGAAATACTTCAAGGGATAACGAAAGAAAATTGTTTTTTGTATATTTGAAAGCATTCCTGTCGTTATGTTAATTTTAAAAAATTGGTCGAAACAGTTTTTTCATCATAGCATACACGCCGAGTCATTATCAATAGATATCTCACGAAAGGCGCAATTCACGAAATGCAAAAGAAAGTATTTCCTCGACATTATTGAATATTTCACTTCTTAGTACAGAAAATCCACTTTGATGTCATGTCCTAGTCGATCTTTTTACAGTCATCTTTTCAAGATTTCACTTTCTTTTTTGTGATTGTAAAAGGAAAAGAACAATTATTTTGTGATTTGATGAAGTTATTGAAGTTTCGCAGCTGGTACACCAACTGCTTCCCACGAAAGCGTTTCGTTTCTTTAAACCTTCCCAAACGTTGATTTTATTTGTCGATAAATTTAAAAATACTGCCGTTATTGCTCACTGTAATTTGCCACATAATGGCTTGCTGTGCAGCTCATGACGTGGCACACACGTTTATCAAATATATCAAATTTTCAAATTTGCTTGTCAAATTATGAAATTTTCGAGTTATGACTTATGATATTTTTCATGTTGAGCGATTTGTTTTCATCAGAAAATAACCCCTTAATTGATCCTGTCATTTTTCCTCCCTATTGATCGCTTCTCATAAGGAATCGAGAAGGTATTCGTTGGTCGCAAGTGAAAATTTCAAATAGACACTTCCATTTTGGGGGAAGGCGGGACTTACATTGTCAAACTAACTGAACTAACAGCGCCGTTTTCATTTAAACTCTTTTTATTAGTTAGAAATCATATTTACTTGAGGAGGGATTTGTAAAAACAACATTAGCATTCTCTCACCTGTCTTCATTCGAGAAACCCCTCTTTCCTAGCCGGTAGCTTACTTAGCAAGGCTCGATTGAGGTATTACGAAGTTGGATTCAGGGATTCGTTTGGGTAGAAGGTACATGATTTGCCCTTTATTCAAGATATTTTTTTAAAGTTAACAATTAATAATGTAAGCTAATTTTCGACAAGTGATACCAGTGATTTTTCCTTGACATCGAGATAATGTCTTTCAATGGTCTACCACGATATTCTTAATCAGTTCTTCAGAATTATAACACAATCTGATTTGAGCTAACAGCAGGGAAGAAATCTTGTGACTTGACCCGCAAGAGATCAAATCACCGCATGAAAAGGACAAATGTATCTCTGCCTTTGAGCCAGCTGATAAAACTTGTCAGAAATAGTGTTGACCTTCCAACAAAACCTTTGCAAAACCTTTCTCGCTGAATATATTTCCGAGTTTTAACATAGGATCAAGGTGTACGAAGTTTTCATTCAATTTGTAAGATTGGTCATAACAACTACGACTATTTGTTAAAGCGGCTGTCACAGTGAGCGGGCAGGGGCGAATATCTCACGAAAGGTAAAACGTTGTACAAATCATACTCTGTGATAATAAATAAGGTGTTTAGCTTTAAGAATATGCTGAGTTGGGATTTCTTAAGTTCAGATTTCAGCTAAGCTAGCTCTTAGCTACTATCATCCAAGACGTATATGTTAAAAATAGGCTCATTTCAAATTTTCGGCCAACCTTGCTTCAACAACAAACGGACTCTCCCTTAGAGAGACCTCCGAAGAAACCTTCAGGTTGAACTTTTTGAAACTGAATCCAAAAGAGTGGATATCTTTCTGCTTTTACAAAAAAAGACCTTAATGTGATTGACTGAATAACGATATATTTTCTGCCAAAATCACATTTTGAATTTTATAACAACAGTTGAGTTGTTTGAGTGGTTAAATATCGGTATAATCCACAACCTATCTAGGATGTAGACGCTTCAAATTACATGGACGTGCTCGCTTCAACCTGTTCATTCACTTCTAAGTAAATCAGTTTTAATTTATGCCTTAGCATTATCGAAGTCACACTGAAATACATGAATGCCAACTTGGGACATAAAACACCAAATTTCGTGCCAAGGGTGAAGCTTCGGCCGAGTTAAACAAATAATCAATGTCGATATGAAAATTTATGAAGAAACAGCGAGAAATGTTTATCATCGTGGCACTTTTATCAAGATTACACAAACAGCGTTAAAGATAAAATGTTAAAGATCATTCTTGACAGATCAATGTTAGTCAAAATGATTGATTTCTCGCTGAATATATTTCCGAGTTTTAACATAGGATCAAGGTGTACGAA